TTCCAAGAGTCACGCGCGTCACTACGACCAGTTTCACCTTTCCCGTTTCAATCTGATTATTAAGATAAACGCGGAAAAACGATTTCCTAGCTTCTTCCAAGTTGGATCGTTAACGAAACCATCGTATAAACGATCGAAGCACTTTTAATATTTTATTTCGTATTCACATTTTAGTCGCTGCGATTCATACGGAAGTGAAGATAATTCGCTTGATTAAGGCAGATGTGAACCGTGAAGAAATTCCATTGTTCGGCAGGTCTATTGCACTAATTAAAGACCTCGCGCGATTCGGTCTCGTCGTCGATTAATTAAAATTTTCCTTTTTTCGGGGATTCAATGGTGGAAAAGTTACCGCTTCCCGGTTGGAAATCTGGGTTACGCGTTCGATCAATACGCCGCATAAAACATGTGTTACAATAGGACTCTCTCTCCTTTTTGCAAGTTAAGACTGGTATTGAATCCTTTATTATTGCTCGTGCTGCAGTTTGATGATGATAGCCGATGTTTCTCTTTTGTCCGTAGAAAACTAAAATAAAATGAATACAAAAAGCAAAATGCGACATCGAATCACGATCATTATTACATTACGTTATTTTAATTATTTTTTACATTGCATGGCAAATATGTAATGCAATCTTTAATATTGCTATTTTCATGAATATTTGGTATACCAAAGTAGATTCATTATGAAAACTAGAGGGTAAATCCATTTTCATATATGAAATTACTTTATGGTTAATTACTTTGAAACCGCTTTTGGTGCACTGCTCTGAACGATTCATTAAAAATTTTGATTGAAAAAGCGTGAATACGAGGAGCACTCATTCTTCAAGTCTCTGAATAAATGAACAAAATTGTTAAAATCCAACTAAATGCGATTCCATTATGAATATCATTTTTCATTGCTGTTGCAATTTTTAATAGTTCCTCTAAATATTCTATTCTATTTTATTTTTTTATTTGCTACCCACTATCCATTTAGAGATTCCTATATATTTTCAATTATCCCAGGATGGATCGTGGCAGGCCCGATATCCCAGAAGCTATTCCGTAATAAAATCATTAAACCTTTTAGCGAAACGGCAAGGAATGTGGTAGCATTCGTGGAAATCGCAAGCCGGCTAGCCGATTATCAGAAAAGCGAGAGGATGGAAAACGTCGGCTTAACGCGGAATATACGGACTCCACGTGAGAGCGAGATTGGTCATATCGCGGGATTTTTGGTGCAGCGATGCCGTTGATTAGTCGCCTCTGGTTCGCGAATAGAGGAAACGTGGAAGCGTAGAAAGAAAGACGCTCCCTTTAGCCGGGAACGAGGGCGCGGGGACGACAGGGGAAATACGGTTGGAATAATAGAACGAGAAGGTTTCGCGTGAAACGCAGACCTTCTCTTGGGGAAAGGAAGACGGAATCGAAGAAAGATGAGCCCGAGTTCGCGAAGAAGAAGCGGGTATATGACTGACATAGCTCTGCTTCATTCGAGCTACGAGTTCTATCTTCAGACTGGTAACGATTACTGACGGCTTCGAGACAGTTTGAAATGTATTTGAAAATTGGAGATTGGCACCAGATATGGAAAAAAGTTCTGTGATATTGGCAGGAGAAAATGGAAAGAAATAACATTCTCAAGCTATTATTGATGTATGAAAAGAAGCAGAACTCCATATTTCAAATAAAATATACAATTCTTGTAATGAATATTATGTTAAAATGGATTGAAAGTAAATAAGTGAAGCATCATCAATCTAATAAATTGACGAATGTACGAAAGACCTGGAAGATAATCAATGTGTCCGACATGCAGGGTACAGTAGTACTGTATCATCATTGTGCTTCAGATTTCAAAGCATAAAAGAGCATCTAGGTAATTGCAGACGTCTGGAAAAAGGCAACAATACTACTGACTGATATGGTACATGCGTACAGAAGAATTTCATCTGACTTTCAAACCATGGATGATGGTTATCTAGCTTTTGTGATAGTGAGAAGCTTTTTCTAATTACGAGATCAAATCTCTTATGACGATCTGCGGAATATCGTTAATTCGTGTCAGGTAACAATTTTGGGAAGCATATATTAATTGCATAATTGTACGGTTTCGTACTTGCTTTTAAAATACTCAACTTCTAGTTATTTGCGTTGGTTATTTCCTATCCGCGAGTGGAGCTTCTAAAAATGTTTTAATTCGAGGACTAAATTTGGTACAGATAATTAATAGGATATTACTTATTTTATTTTTTTATTTGCTACCCACTATCCATTTAGAGATTCCTATATATTTTCAATTATCCCAGGATGGATCGTGGCAGGCCCGATATCCCAGAAGCTATTCCGTAATAAAATCATTAAACCTTTTAGCGAAACGGCAAGGAATGTGGTAGCATTCGTGGAAATCGCAAGCCGGCTAGCCGATTATCAGAAAAGCGAGAGGATGGAAAACGTCGGCTTAACGCGGAATATACGGACTCCACGTGAGAGCGAGATTGGTCATATCGCGGGATTTTTGGTGCAGCGATGCCGTTGATTAGTCGCCTCTGGTTCGCGAATAGAGGAAACGTGGAAGCGTAGAAAGAAAGACGCTCCCTTTAGCCGGGAACGAGGGCGCGGGGACGACAGGGGAAATACGGTTGGAATAATAGAACGAGAAGGTTTCGCGTGAAACGCAGACCTTCTCTTGGGGAAAGGAAGACGGAATCGAAGAAAGATGAGCCCGAGTTCGCGAAGAAGAAGCGGGTATATGACTGACATAGCTCTGCTTCATTCGAGCTACGAGTTCTATCTTCAGACTGGTAACGATTACTGACGGCTTCGAGACAGTTTGAAATGTATTTGAAAATTGGAGATTGGCACCAGATATGGAAAAAAGTTCTGTGATATTGGCAGGAGAAAATGGAAAGAAATAACATTCTCAAGCTATTATTGATGTATGAAAAGAAGCAGAACTCCATATTTCAAATAAAATATACAATTCTTGTAATGAATATTATGTTAAAATGGATTGAAAGTAAATAAGTGAAGCATCATCAATCTAATAAATTGACGAATGTACGAAAGACCTGGAAGATAATCAATGTGTCCGACATGCAGGGTACAGTAGTACTGTATCATCATTGTGCTTCAGATTTCAAAGCATAAAAGAGCATCTAGGTAATTGCAGACGTCTGGAAAAAGGCAACAATACTACTGACTGATATGGTACATGCGTACAGAAGAATTTCATCTGACTTTCAAACCATGGATGATGGTTATCTAGCTTTTGTGATAGTGAGAAGCTTTTTCTAATTACGAGATCAAATCTCTTATGACGATCTGCGGAATATCGTTAATTCGTGTCAGGTAACAATTTTGGGAAGCATATATTAATTGCATAATTGTACGGTTTCGTACTTGCTTTTAAAATACTCAACTTCTAGTTATTTGCGTTGGTTATTTCCTATCCGCGAGTGGAGCTTCTAAAAATGTTTTAATTCGAGGACTAAATTTGGTACAGATAATTAATAGGATATTACCTTCAAACGAAATTATTTTAAAAATAAAAATAAATCGTATTTATAATATAAATTATTTCATTACAAGCTACGATATGAGAATTTTGAGAAAAGTACTCTTATTTTTAAGCTTCGCTTTTTATAGCCATGGGAAAAATAGCGTTTGGTAAATTGAATCTTGACGATAAAACGCGACGTTAAAAATCGGACGCGTTTGCAACAAGTCCGTCGTAGACGATTGACGTTAATTCGGAAATAGCTCGGAAACGCGAGATTTTCTTTCAAAGCGGAAACAAACCGAGGTAATTCCGAGCACCCGTTGCTGCGTCGGAAGAAATGAACTTTTGTAATCAATTTAATCGGTCGCTCGCGTAAATTGACATTTCAACAGAAACTCGAAGCTGTATTGAATTTAATATTCGACGTCGACGTACGAAAGGTACCAGACAGCATTTAGATTCGAACTTAGAACAAAAGCGACTTGCAAAAAGTCTGAGCAACAAGTATTGAAATCGATGGTAATCAATAAACAAAACGTATTGTTCATCATTTTAGTTAGTGCTTTCATCCTGATTGTATATTTGCCGATTGCTTGTACGTTTCATATTGTCCCAATTATTGCTAACGGTTTAACGACGTTCATGTATAATGTAATTCGATACAAAAAGGTACAACGTACTAAATTAATTTAATTAGATGTTATGAACGTTTCATTGTATCCGATGAAACTCAATCTGATTTGTAACAAAATTAGTAAACTACGATTTCCAGTTAAAAATATATGTTTACATATTAAACAGGCATTTCCGTAGATTAATTAAATTAATTTTTTGCAGGAAGAACAAAGTGTGAAAAAAGCGAAGTGGAACGATCAAAGTTATTTTACAATCGGGCGTAGTACACGAGATAGTCGCCACGCGAAATGGTCCATTTCACGCGACCGAATTGTGTATAGCAGTCGTTAACCTAATGCGAAAACATGGGCGTTTCCTAGTTTATTTTTACTTTTAACGGAAACAACAATAATAGCATTACGTGAGTGTCTAATTTCCCGCATCGGACTACATATTATGGAAAAAGTGCAGGACCGTGATCCCATCCGTTCCAATCCCTCGAGATTTCGCTCCTACTACTGATTTCAAGCTAGATTATAGTCAGTGCCGAATAGTCACTCGCTAGTGGGAAGTTCTACTCTTCCTCGAAATGCTTAATTCCATAGTAGAAAATAGGTCATTATAGAAGCTTCTATGATTGGGGGATTGATATGAAATATATTAAGTGTAGAAACATTAATTATTTCTGGGCAAAGAATGATTGACGAAAACATGCTAACAAATTAAAGGAACAGAACGATAAAGAAGAGACAACTTTTATAGAAACTTTGAATGCACGTAAAATTTATTATTTACAAAAAATTAAATGTACTAGATTAACATATAATTATTACAGAATTATTACTTCCAAAGAATTTCATTTTTTTTAAATAATGAGGAGTATATATAAGAAACTCACTGTTCTTGTAATTGTCCGATTGGGATGCATACTGCGTGCCGTGATGGTGACCAGATATCTGTCCCAATACGTCCAGATTCCTCGATTGCCGTCCTGGAAAAAGCACAATGGAACGCGAACATTAACGATTGGGCCACGATTAATCATAACGGTAAATTAGGGGCTCTCGAGGATAAAGGGTTGCATCCTCCATTCTCCTTTTTTCCCTCGCCGTTCTCCCTATCGAGTCGAAGATTTCCAGCCGAAATTCCACGGACAATTTAAATTACGAATCCTTATCCCGATAGAGAGTCTCTAATGAAGCGGGCCGATATTTTGATGAAGCCACGGGCATCTCGAGAGCACGTCCTAGCAAATATCTCGATTGGACGAGTTTTTAGAGCGTACTCGAGACAAACGAGTAATTACGAATTTCCGCAGATAATTAAAACTCGAATGTATATAATTATTATTGATTATTAGCACTGAATTAAACAATCAGGTTTTAATCGCGTACGTAGAATGCGCAGGGATTGTTCATAAAATTATTTTACTGTGTCATACAAAGTGTGCAATTATTGAAACACGGCCTGTTTCGTAGGGTACTCGAGGCGTTAAAATGATAATTTAAAGTTGGAAATCACAACGACCGACCTGCGCTACGGTCGAAAGTTTAACGATATTCCGCGAGGACAACTACGCGCAACAATTCTCATAACTTGGACAGACTATAGCTCTTTCCCCGGTGAAAGTAGGAAAAACTGGTACCTAGATGAGAGCATTGCATGCTACAGTAACAACAACCAACTTTTTGCGATGTCAACGGTACGCTGGCGTCACGCAATTGAACTTGCTTAAATTCATGCGCCGTTCGCAGTATTTTTAGCCCCTGTTATTTAAATATTCGTATTATTATTATTACCTCGCATGCTCGGGTATCATTAATGTATTATAGGCTGATAAGTCTTGCGCTGATTGATCGCCATTTGAACTGTGGGCGTCGTGAAACTATAATTTTAAATTAGTTACTGCCACGTTGATGTCGTATAATACGAAGGAACAGGATCGTTGGATATCTAACAAGATTAGATTTCATCCGCGATTTTGCAAAATTGTTGGTACACACGCGTATCATAAATTGTTTCATACGCAAACGTTTCAACGATCCATAACCATAGGACAATTTTATTGGCAACGCGGATTCTGAATAACTAAAAACGAACACGCGGGCAGCTCGGTTCCAGCGGAACGCAATGTAAACTTTGAAGGAGCGAAGTTTTCTCTCCCCCTGCCGCGAAATTCGAAATGATAAAGTTCCTATTGGCCGGCCGGGAAAGTCGAGGCTCTAAAGGAGCAATTCCTATTTCACGTAGCTATATTTAAATCAATAAGGACAAGATTATAAGTCCCCAATGGAAAAACTTTCGCCATAATCATTTGCATTCAGGTGTCGGCAATTAGCAAACTTTTACTCCGCCGCTACGTTATCGTTCATCTCTGTCCCCGCGATTCATAATCTCTCCCACCGTCAAAAGAATAAAACCGCTCTTGCATATTCAATGATTGTTTTTTTTCCAATTTACAGAAAATAATACAACGTAACTACAGTGTTAAATTATTAAATGGTTTTATTCAACACCTATTCAAATAATGAATTGTCTTTTAATCGAGACGTTTTCTTTTTTAATTGACTACAACTAGAAAGATGTAATGATGTTTCACTTCATGACAGATTCACTCAAAATGAAATTTATCTCATACGCATTGCAGTGAAATGTTAAAGGGGAGAAACAATGGATAATTTACAAAGTTTCTAAAAATTCGTCTGTTACGGTAACGCTTCGCGTTTGCATTTCCTGCGGAAGTTAATACATCGCCAATACGTTTCACCTGTCAAAGCCCCCGTCCACAGCGAGAGGTCTTGTATACGCGCGCACGCATGCGATTCGCAAAGTTCCGTTGCAAAATTCCACACAATAGCCGCATGACATGGTGGTACCTACCTATGTTTTTTTGGCCCAGCCCCGGCACGGATTAGCCGCGTACACGGGTTTTGCAAACATGGACCGCGGAAAACCGAAAACTCTTCAATGAAAGTTGAAAGCAGTTGTTTGCTCGAAGGACGGGTTGCTCGGGGAAAACGTTCCCTCAGTCAAAAGCCGCGCGTTCTTGTCGCTTAATGTTAAAATCATATAAATACCTATATAAACTTGAATAGCAAACAAATAGGCGTAGTAAAATAAATTACATTTTGTCCGTCTATCAAATGAATAACGAATACATAAAACGAATAGCGTCAGAAATATTTTGGACGGTGTAAATGTGTCTGCGTCGTGAATAATATCTAATTGAACGAGGACGAGATCTTGGAAAATTTACTCTCGTTCTTGCGGGTACACATCCGACTCGGTACGTACAGACGCTGGGTCGGGCGCATCAAAAATATCGAACCGCGGAATTCAATTTGCGGACTTGTACCCATAGAGATCGGAAGTTGCCGGAAGTTGCCGTCGGAACGGCGGCGTGGCGGCGGCCCGCCCACTCTCGTAAATAATCAACAACGACGTTCCCGGGGATGATAACCTAACGAACTCGTAGCGGCGGGAAATTCCGGGATGGAGGAGGCGCGGCCGGGGCTCTCCGAGCCCGTCAAAGGCTCTATTGAAATTCGAGAAATTCGAGAAACGACGCGACGCGACGCGAAGAACCGCGAGCGAAACAATGACGTTTCGCGTTCACCACGGTGTAAACACGGCCGGTGGCCGTATTTTTGTATGACGGCCGCCTTTGTGCTCGCTCGCTTTCAAATCTCGCAGCTATGTACGCCTGAACTTGGATAACTGAATCCTATTGGGTCCTCCGCGCGACTCCTCGTGTTCTCATAGCGTTCCTTCCAGCGCCGTAATACTTTCGAGAAAGCTTTCATTGTTCGAATTCGAGTACGAACTATATTTCTCCTTGAAGACTCCTTCTTTCGCCACTTTCGCTTCTTCCTCTTCCTTTACTGCTGCGACCTCGTTTCGCCCGGTCCAAGTGCAGAGAGGGAGCTTTTCTCTCAGCACGTAGCTAGCTAGCTAGCTACCCCACCGCCATCAGCCGTTCCGGTGTGACGAGGTTTATTTAGGACGCGGTCTCATCATGAAACGATAATATCACGGCTGGCTAGGCAACGATTAATGGAGCAATCTCGGCTGTGACTGATGTTATACGCAATCGGGAAACAGCTCCTGGCTTTTCATCGGCCTCGGATATGTACATCGTGCGAGGGATTGGCTGCTGCTTACGAGCACCCGTCCAATCTATTCAACACCGTGAAATTTACTTTACGGCTTATTGCCGAGTGTTTAGAGTAAAATGTAACCGCAGCTCGCCCCTACGCCTTCCACGATGTCATTCTTATTCGCGCCTTGTTCCGATGCTGATACAAAGATAACGACGAGGCAACGTCTCCTCATATTTTAATAAATCAAAAGCTCATCGACTTGGATGAAATTTTCTTTCTACGATCTCACGTTTTTTCTCAGCAGAATTTTAATCTATACGAAATTGATCGACAGAATTTGATTGCACGTTTCTCAGAAAAATCATACCTGGTAAATGAATCTCAAAATAGAAATAAATTAGTAAGAGAATTTTCTATTTAAATTCAGACAAAATTAGAATCAAGCATTTCGTGTGTACGTGGCATCTGTGGTTTTAGTGTAATCAGAATAATAGGTAAAGAAACGGGAAGAATAATAGTGGACAAGTATTTTTCATCCATGAAGGTAGCAGTTCGTTTTCAGACTTTATTAAAAAAGGAATATAATAACGTAAGGGCAACTGTCGTCGGCCAGATATTTATTGTAAAACCATGAGTCACGAGGGACCGGAATCGATTTGTCTTTACTCCCGAATTCGTATTGAGAGGCGAACCTGGCTAGATCTATTTATCAACGGCACCGAACGATGAAAAAGAGTATTACAAAAAAAAAAAAAATGAACGACGACGCGCAGAAGAGTGATGGTACCTGAAAAATCGACGGATCTCGTTAAACTGCTATTACATTTTTCTCGTTATACACTCGATACAGTGCGATTCGTTCATATACAAAAATAGCAATAATTAATATTAACAGCTTAACTATACATTACATGATCATATCATAAAATGAATTATTGTAAGATAGAAAAACTTGGTACTTTGAAATTTTGCAAATTAGACATTGCATTTATCATAATACAATACTGCAAAATTTCAGTAGTTAAGGTCAACGATTGAAGCACATTCAAACGTTCGTTACATATTCATAAGCTCGAAACTCATTTACAGAAATTTCTTAATTATAAAAAATCTAATGTAGGTAAAATGCAATATGTGATCTGTTTTTCTTGATTTCTTTCGTGGATATTCCTTAAATTCAGTATTGAAGTTCCTGAGTAGAAACTTACGTGCTCTAGATATTAATACGGCTTTATACGTAATATATAATTCACTGTCAGAGGAGAGTTTTAGCTTCATTCCCGTCTGTCGCTCCCTTTTTGATGGGCTATTTAACCAACTCAGGCAACTCTTTTTTCAGGCAAAAAATTAAAAAAGCAATACAGAATTTACGGAAATCCTCATTAACGACGATGTCAAAATTATCCTCGTTTTATATGAAGTTGAAACGGCGATGTTAGATATTTAAAATGAAGGGAAATGAAAATAACAAGATACTGTTATTATATTATCAGTAGATACCGTCTTATTCATACATAAATACATTCATTCTCTTGATTTCATGGTAAAATTAATAGCGAGAATTTTAGAAAAATATTTTTCTTGCATCTCATTTAAGTAAACTTCATTTGCAGCTTCTTAAAATAAATTTTCACTAGAATACAACGGAGAAATAATAGAAGTTATAAGAGGAACAATGAACAGGATTTATGAAAATCTCCGGTAGCTGCGGTCATCCATACATTACTGAAGTAACGACGGGACGTTTTTATTATCGAGAACCGTCAAGTCACCTAACCGTAAGTTGAGAAATGGAAAGAAGATGAAAGGAATATCGGCGAATCGATATTTTATCTATCGTTGAAGAGATGAAATGCCACGGAACATTGCGTGACCGTTGAAATCTGCTTTT